CACCAAAATATCAAAATATCCATCTCCACTGCGCGGGACAACACAAGTTTGGGGAAAGAGGGAGCCGCCACCATAAAGCAGATTTCCTCTTGAGGTAAGGGTGAGTTCTTCCCTGTCTTCGTACCCTTGATTGAGGAAAGAATTATACTTGACGAATTTGAGAACTCGGGGGTACACTATTTTTACCGTGAGAGAAGAAGTAACTTGAAACGGTCACGAACGTGAGGTCAGAGGAGATGTGAGGTTACGTTAAAGGATTTAACTTGAAGAGGAAGAAGAAGCAAACTTGCTTTGTTGGGTTTCAGGGAGTGCTTAAGGTTAGGGAGTAGTTTTCATCGGGTAGTCAGAAACAGAGAAGGGTGTGCAGGTCATAACGATGTCGTTCAAGAGCAGGGCACGTAAGGGGAAGGGTGTGCAGGTCCAGGTTGACTCAGATAGTTCTGAGACACACCATGTCCCGAAAAATCAGGAACTGGAAAGGTTTGTGTCTCCCCAAGCACTGTACCGATTCACATCATGCATGAGCACTTGAGCATTGCACATGGAGCGAGACTTTGTTAAACTATAATTATAGTTTAACAAACACTCAGCTGCTTTTTATAATAGCTGTTTCTTCCTTCAGCACAGTTAAAAGTAAGTTTTCTAAAATCTACAGCACTACCAAACTAAGCCATCATCTAGTCCCCAAATAAAACGCTACCACATTGATAACTCTAAGAAATTAGAGTTATCCAATGGTTTTCTAGCTCATAAGTTGCGTGACCAAGAGTGATTTTTCTAGTTTCTTGTGTATTTTAATTTAGATTTTTATAGTTTACACTTATTATGGCTTAACTCTGTACTTGTGCTCTTCTTGAAATAAAAGTTGATGATTTTGAATTAAAAAGAGGTAGAAAGTCGACTAACACTGTGTGTGTGCTTTGCAGGAAATTCCTGGGCTAAATACTGCGGCATTCTAGCAACATTCTGGGAACAATTGGCATATGAATGACGTCAGCGCACTACTTAGAGAAAGCAGACAAAACGGATCCGTGTGAGCTAGTTGAGTAGGTGTCATTGTGGTCCAATGCACACTTTATCAAGTGACACCTCAGCCCTTGTTGCCCTAGAAAGGAATGTTTTCTAAAAACAAGGGCAGCCGCCAAAGAGAAAAGAAGGAGAGAGACGAGGCTGAAAAATAAAAGAAGACAGAGAGTATTCCCTCTGGATATACACAGAGCATCCCTCTCCAGAAAACACAGTGCATTACCAAGAGAGGGAAAAGCATAGTACAAGAGCTGAGAAAGAGAGGAACTACAGAGAGTACCCATCTCCAGAAAACAGAATTCAGAGATGCTATTAATTTACTATTCCTATTCATTCATGTGTGTTCATGCCTATTTCTACTCTTGACTGGCCATCAATTTTAGGATACAAGATTAAGATTAATACTAGAGGGTTAGTTTTAATCGGATCTAACATGAATGATGCTTGTTTAATAACCTTGCTTAATTTTTGATTAGTTGATGGTATAGGAATATATTGTTCATCTTGCATAACTTAAAGAAACCTGAGCTTAGATCTGCATTCTGAAAGCTGGATTCATATAGGAATATGCTGTAAATGGTTTAAGGAACCTTAGACATAAATAATTCAGAAGAATTTTATGCAATAACGGAGTTTCTATTAACAGGGGTAGTAAATGCTGCAGCGTTTCGGTAACATTTTAGCCATACTTGCAATTGAGGAGAAGTTAGTAGACCTAGCTCATTTCCACACTAAGTTATAGCCCATAATTACGTTCTAGTTACTGTTAGTCACTTAGACCGCATTTAGTTTGCATTCATTTTATTTACATCATTTTAGTGAATTTTTGCCACATTCATTCTTTACTCGTTTTGTTGATTATATAACTTCCAACACGTATTTTTGGTGAATCAATCCTCGTGGGATCGACACTCTTATTCACTCTTTATTACTTGTCTGGGACACGTGCACTTGCGAGCATAAAAATCACGCAACACACATCATCTAAGTTTTTTAACTTTAGTTTCAAAAGCCATGCAAACCATGTTTGCCTAGTTTTTTCCCCTCTGACACTGCCTAGTCTTTTTTTTTCTTTTCAAATATAACCAGACCCAACTCCCATGCAATCTGATAAACAAAATATATATATATATATATAGATATGTATGTATATTATGTTAAATATCTCGTGTGCAATCAGAAAAATAGATTTGAAGTCCATCAAATTTTGCATTAAGCCGAAACTTCAATCTAGCTCACCTTCAATTGCTAAAGTACATAATTCTGTAAAACCAATTGTAATTTTCTTTTTATGTAAGTTGAAAAAACTAAAATAAAGCATATGTATATAGTGGTGGAACTTTGGCCAGCGGGCAGGCCCGCTGGCCGAATTTTTTGGGCTCGGCGGGCAGGCCCATATGCCGGCCCGTCCAAAGTTGCATTTTTGGGCTCGGGCTCGGGCAACCCTAATTTGGTCACCACGCCGGAGCCCGCTGCAGTGTAGCGCCATCAACCGCTGTCTGCCGGAGTTTTTTTTGAATTTTTCCATCGAAGCCCGAATGCCCGACCCGCCTAAGGCCCGAATTGCCCAAAAAAGGTCAAAATTCCGACCGTTGGTGCCCGACCCGAAAATAAGCCCGAAAACTCAAATTTTGCCCGAAAAGCCCAAATTGCCCGAAAACCCGTCCAACGGCTAGTTTTTTTATTGTTGCCGCCCGAACCCGAACCCCAAACTAGCCGTTGCACCCCGAATTTTTTGAAAAAAAATTAATTTTTTAACCCAAAAATTTTTCTATAAATACCCCCCATCTCTCACACATTTTTCTCACTCAAACTATCTCAATCCCTCTCAATTTCTCTCAATCTCTCAAATCTCTATTACAATTTTTTTAAAAACTATCATATTATCCTAAAGCTCTCTCTCTCAAATCGCTCTTATTTTTTTATAATGGATCCTTTTGGTTATAGTGGTATTCCCGTTGATGCCCAACACAACGTGGAAGAAGGACAATTTCCCACTAATGAATTTGTTACGCAAGAATCTACTAATCCGAGCCATGGTGGACGTATTGGAGGTCGTGGTCGAAATGGTGGTGGGCGTGAAAAAACGGCGAGTGCCAGTGCGACTGTGTCTGCAAGTGTTGTAACCTCTAGGAGAAAATACAAGCGCACCTCGACAGTTTGAGATCACTTCGACATAATTGAGGAGATCGACAATGAAGGTAACACTAAACATATAGCTCAGTGTAAATATTGTTTATCTAAATTAAAAGGTGACACTATTCACGGCACCACACTTGAGAAGACACTCCGAAAAGTGTCTTCAAAAGCTTAGCCCATCCGGCGGACCCAAACTCCGCCAAACACAATTATCTTTTGATCGGATAATTTAAGCAAAAGGGTAAATTTAATAATATTAAAAACATGAAACATTCTAAATTATCTTATGACAAAATTAAAAATAAAGTAATTGAAACTTAAAAAGTAAAGAAAAAATTGAGGAAAAAATAAAAAATTTAGAATGACATAAATAAAAATAATAGGCATGCGTTAAAACTATGACAGATCATGTACTTTTCTTTATTTTAAATGTTTGAAAGTAAAAGAAAATAGGAAACAAACCGGTGGTATAACCACTTGGAAATACGATCCGAAAGTAAATCATATGAAAGTCGCAAGTAAATCATATGAAAGTTGCACGAATGATAGCTGCTTTAGATCAACCACTTAGTTTTGTAGAGCATCCTAATTGGCAACGATATATTAAGGTTGTATATAATCCTAATGCACAGTTCACTTCAAAAACTACTATTAGAAAAGATTTATTAAAATTATTTTTTTTTAAAAAAAAGCATTAATAAACCTTTTACACTCGACTAGCGGGTGTGTTGCGTTAACGGTAAATATTTGGTCTACCGTTGCCAATAAAGATTATTTAACTGTAACCGGACATTACTTTAAGGGATTTGATTTATATAAAAGAATATTATGTTTTAAATGTGTTCTAGGATCACATAGTGCGAATTTAATATATAGTACAATTTTAAATGTAATTGATGAATTTAGATTAAGAGATAAAGTAATGGCTATAACATTAGATAATGCTAGTGCCAATACAAAAGCAATTGAGTTCTTTGAAAATGATTAAGCTTATTCGGTGACGATACTATTTTCCACCAACGTTGTGCATGTCACGTAATTAATTTAATTGTTAAATTCGGTTTAAAAGAAATGGGTAATCACATTAAAAGAATTAGAGATAGTCTTGCATGGATTCAAGGTAGTAACCAAAGACAAGAAGATTGTTTTAGGTTCTTACAATCATTAAATATACCTCCTAGAGCATTAGCATTAGATATGCCTATAAGATGGAACTCAACTTACATAATGCTTCAACAATACATCCTCTATAAGGATGCTATAACAAACTATGTGTGCAAAAGTAAGAGAGTGACATTTAGACGCATATGATTGGCAAATTGCCGAAATTTTGTATCAATTTTTAGGTAGGTTTCATGAAGTGACTCTAAAACTTAGTAGAACATATTACCCGACATCACCTTTAGCTTTAGGAGAGTTTTTACGAATTAGTATTTTATTTAGCGAATATAAGGATGACACAATCTTAGCAGTTCCTATCTAAATTTCGGGCTATTCGGGTTCGGACTCGAGCAAAAACTCAATATTTTCAGACGGTCGCGGGCGGCCCATCCAAAATTCCAACACTATATGTATATAATATCGCAGACATTCGTATGCATGGAAATCAACTCTTCCTCCAATTTAAAAAAAAAAAAAAAAAAAAAAAAAAAAAAAAAACCTTTCATTTATTTATTTATTAATTTTTGAGGATATATTGATGGAAATTATACGAATGAAACATGTAACAAATTTGTTACTAAAAAGGTTGCGAGGAAAAAAAAAGATTATTGAAGAGTAGAGAACCGTCTAAAATAAGGACGCAAGTCAGGCCAAATTTGAAACAAACAGGCCGATTTTGAAACAAATAGTATCCAATTTAACATAAAGATTCGTGCAGGGAAGTTAGCAAATCAGTGGAGTATAGTGTGCAATTAGGCCCTAGGAAAAAAAAAAGAAATAAAACACGGAAAATTTCAAGAATCTTGATGAGAATACAGCTTAACTTGCCGTGGCCAAACTTGACCATAAACGTCCTTCTTGTTATACGTCCGGTCCCAAGACCATGGTACATCTGCTCAAAAAGTAAACAAGTTTGAGATCAACGTAAAATAAATAATAAAAAAAAAAAAAAAAAAAAGAGAACATCACATGACCTTCAGAAGAGTATGGCTGAGGAGGAAGCTCGTAAGGCAGGGGCAATTTAACTATTTCAGACAAGGAAACCGCGTTCGAGCTTCTTTGCCAATTCAAAGTCACTAGTTCTGTTTTCTGTGCCTTAGAATTATCTGATGATCCGCATTTATCCTAAAAGACGGATGAGTTAAACGAGTGCTTAGAAGTCAAAAATATTATGAAGAAACTAATTTATATGAACCAGAAGGCCGGGTTGTTCGTTAACTGATAAATGCTACCTCTGGCTGAGAAACGGTATTGGTACAAGAAAATCTGAAGCTGCATCGTTTAAATGGTAAAAAGAGCACCCCTAGCTGAAAAAAGACACAAAAGGGCTTGAAAAACAAGGTCTTATAAAAGGGCAACTCAGTCACAAGTATTGGAAATGAGTACCTCGTAAGAACGGATCATTAGTTGAGAATTATTCTTCTGCAGAGCTCCCCAGGCAGCTTTGCTGAGATTCGCTGAAGTTAACAAAAACCAACTGTTTGGAGAAAGTATGAGTTGGTAATGCGAGTGAAACAAGAAAGCAATCCACCAAAAACTTGACCAAAGAAGCAAAAGAAGGGGTTTGAAAGCAACTCTTACGCCAGCTTCTGATCATTATATCGAGCGAAAGTCTTAATATGTGGCATTGCATGACTGAAAGGAAAAAAGGATACCCCTTAGTAGCATCAACAAGGAACTTTTATAAGGAAACAAAGAAAATTGTTAAGGGCTCACTGTTATCACCATTAGGAACACTGGAAAACGGAGTTTGTCTAATCAAAAAACGAAGCACTTTTTCATTGCTTCAATTCGGAGAACGAGGACAACATGGCACAAAGACACAGCAGAAGGGGTTCGTTTCAGATTTCCTTGTCCAAATTTTCAGTAGATAGAAAAGATATGTACCTGCGACCACTATGGCTTGCCTTCCACTTGGCCCAATATTTCTTCAAGAATGCTTTCTCAACATTCTTCAGTGGACTTGGAATGGCATTTCCAGCTGCATAACCCTAGTAAAGGGTGCCAAAAGAAAACAAAAGAAAACAAAGCACAGCAACATTCACTACTAATCCTGCACTAACTTCAATATGTTTAAACAAAGTGAGCTAGCATTTTACTTTACATCTTATAGATGATCTGAACTGTGTATGTAACACGGTTATTGATCTCAAAAAGTGATACCTGTTCTTTCCTTCAAGGCATCTAGACGTTTGAAAACCAAGAGAAATTTTTTAAAAGCAATATTGAAGAGTTTTCAGAAAAATCTTCTCATTCTTTAACATTTATCCAAATCCCTATCAATAGAATGATGGAATATCAATAGAATGATAGAAATGCATCCATCATTCTATTGATGAGATCCAACTGCCTAGAAAGAAAGCCACGTCAACCAAATATTCAACTATATAGCTAAGTGCAGAAACCCTCTAGCATCTTTTCTTAACCACAGAACTCTAGCACACAAAGCCACTTTTACTCAACAAAATTAACAAGAAAAACCACTTTGATAGTACCTCTAAAGAGCATCTGACATCTTCAACGGTGGGCCATATAATTAATGGCTCCCCGGGGCCAAGTGGAGTTTTATCTTCTGATAAACCTGACGACATTGAAGATGCAAATTCAGCCATCCACTTCTCATCCAAAGAACCTAGGGAGGAGAACTGCAACAAAAGAATAACAAACTTAAAAATATGAAGATTTCCCTAAGGTTACACTACCATTTCTTTTGTTCTGAAAATAACATTTGACAAAGCAATCTAAAATTAACAACAGCATCAAATTTTGAAAGTTAAGTAATTAACAACAACATCAATAACAAAACTTTTATAGCGTGGTGTACAAGGATCGATAGAGAAGGATGTCCGGGCAACTTACACTATCCAATGAATTCCGAGATCAACCGGTGCAATACTCCTTAAATCAATGACGCATTAGCAGATTTGTGCAAGTAATTAAAGGTGGCCTATTTTCCTTACCTGATAAACTAGAGGAGATTTTTTAAACTCTCTATCAAAAGTACACTCCTGGAGTACAGTACGTAGCTTCACGTGTCCCCACTTCTTCAGATTTACACCCGTATGATATCCAGGGACAGAAGCAATTAACCTCACCTGAAATTAATCAGGTATTTCTCATATGTCCTGCACAACAGCATTGGACAAGTAGATAATGTACAAATGAAAAGGAATGGAAACCGCACCTCTGCATTGCTGTAATCAAACTTTCTAAAAAATGACGAGTTGATAGTAAAGCTTCCAAGATTTGGAAAATTAACGGAGAACTCAGGCCACTGTAAGCATCAAACAAGGAATTGAAACTTTATTGCACTGACATGGACTGGCATCAACAAAGAAAGTGACTGGCAAAGCAACAACACATACATTCTCATTTACATTGTAACTGAAAAAGCAGAGAAAAGGTTTTATCTAGGTAGTAAGTACTTGATTCCTGTCCAGTACGGTGCTTTTATGTGAATAAGTATCCAGACATTGATTTCCGTTTGACAGTTAAAAAAATTGACAACTAATTTTCTTCTCATACTAGTGGTACAGATGAAGCAAGAAATTAAACTTACAAAAAATTCTCCAAAAATGCATTATCCACCTAGCTTATCATATCTATACCTTTAGTGCACTGAGATAATCCGTCAAATCATTTTCAAATGCACATCCTTTGCTTGGATTATTTTGTTCTTTCCAGGGGAAATCTTGCATCCACAAACCCTGAGTTTTATTGTTCCAATCGACATATATTAAGTTTGCTGTATGTATAATAATTCTCACTCCTCGGGGATACACAAGAAGCATGGCCTTTGAGTGGTGTGTTCCAAATGAAATGGGTAGTGGTGGTTTGTGCAGAATCCAATTTGCAGGCTTGATTCTCTAAGAAATGAGAACTAATATGTTAAAGTCCATGTGTTCAAAGCAAAGAATGGATAAAATGAGATTACTACCAACTAGAGCAAAAGGCCAACCTTCATATGATCCAGTGTGCCATCACCCTCACCATTAACTACCAACACCTTGGGGATTTTTGAAAGTAGTGGAGATGCTACAGGTAAGAAAGTTACATTATTAGGTCAAGATCTTCCACCAGTGTACTCTATAAGAAACAATATGGAAGCCAACTAGGAGAAAGTAAGCGCAGATGCCACAATCAAATAGAACAGAACTTACCAGATAACAGCCAATCGATGTCTACCATATAATTAGAAAGGACGGCAAAGAGAATATCCCCCTATTCAAAAGATGAGCAAACAAACTTGAACCAAAAAAAGATGACTGAAATTGTCATTCCATTTCTCCCTAGAGTTTTGCATACTAAGTGCTGCATATATGTAATTTGACCCAGTCATTCAAGTGACAAATTTCAAGACACAACCAGGGAAGTGAAAAATACCATCAAAACCTACTATAAAAATAGATAATGAGCAAGCAGCCTGTACTTTTCGAAAAACAAAATAAAATTTAAAAGTGGAATTTGCACCTGAATCACATCCTCTATGGAGACACAAGAGGTATTTGCCCATTGAGGCAGTCCTTGTACTCGCAAAAGCCGAAAAGTCAGTGCCAACTTATCAGGAGAAACATGAAAATGGCGAATGGCTTCCTCACTACTATCTTTTTTAGACAATGAATTCCTGGAATTCTCAGCCATCGAATTGCTTCCTTCCACCCTGCTGTTCTTTTCCAGCTCAATAATCTTCATAGACCAAAACGTAAAAAATAAACAAAAAAAAGAAAGGGAGAGAAAAAAAAAGAAAAAGGATTATTCTGTCACTTCTTAAAAGCAATTTGCATGAGGAAATAAGAAAACAAAAATCCTAAATTCAAAGGGTGAGACCTTGGAGTTACTCGAAGAGACTTTTGCTTCAGATGTTTGGCGTAACCTCTTTCGACTCGAAGCAGCATTACCTTCATCGGCCTCTCTTCCATGACCGGAACTACTCTTTTCAGTATCGCTAATCACATATTTAAACATATAATGGCCCGGAATCAACTCTATAACATCTCCATTTCTAATCGTCCCATTTTCACGAGAACAAAGCTTTTCTCTATTATTCCCGGAGTTAACAACAACCGGATTGGTACCTTCCTACATATTCCCATCCACTCAACGATCAATCAATCAAGCAAACATACAAACAAACAAACAGGCATTGATTAAGAGGTTTAACTACGATTACCACGATCACCGTCGCAGAGCCATCGGGAGAGACGGTGAGAGCGAGATGGTTGCGGCTGAGCCGTTTGTCCGATAAGGAGACGCTGTTCCGTCCGACGAAGTTCAGTCCTCGGAAGACGGGAATCTTCGCGATTGAGGCGTCTTCTTGGAGATTTTGATCGAGAGGAACCAGATGACCAATCTGCAGAGAGTAAAACTGGAAAATGAGAAATCGGGAAGAGAAAATGTAAAAGTAAAAAAGGAGCAGTACCTGAGGCTGCGCCATGGGAGAGGAGAGAGCGAAGAAAGGGCCTACTGGCATCCAAGGCCGGAAGGCATTTGGGAGGGATGTTAAGAGAGAGAAAAACAGAGGAGAGAGAGTTGAAAGACTCAATTTGTATTCGGTGGAGTGGAGGAGAGAAAACTGGAATGCTGGGGTTGGCAGCTCAGTCAGTTGTTCTTGCCGCTTCCGGGGGTTCTTAACTTCTTAACTTCTTATTACATATATATATATATTTTTTTTTTCTTTTTTTTTTTTATTATAGGTTTTCAGGTTGTTGTCGTTTGCTCTTTTTGTTATCGTAATGTAATGTTCATTTGGTTGTCGTTTTCTCGTCATTGTCGTTTTGTTCTTCTCTTCTTATTCTCTTTCACGTCGTTTTTTTTTCCAGGCTTCTAGCTAGACTTAGGTTGCGGTTCTAGCACTTCAAACATTTGTTTGTTTACAAAAAGTAAAAAATGGTTCTTAAAAATCAGTGTTTAGTTTTGATAGTTCTGATTCAAGATTTGAATCATGATGTAATGTTTTAAACCAGAACTACCCGAAAAAATAAAACTACCTCCCCCTTAATTTTAGATGGTTCAAACCTCTACTTCTGATTCCAGTTCCAGAACTATGGTTTGGTTCACAAATTCAAACCATAAATTATAATTCTAGTTCTAAAACTAAAAACTATCCTGATGTTCAAGATTTGAATCATAATGTAATGTTTTAAACCAGAACCACCCGAAAAAATAAAACTACCTCCCCCTTAATTTTAGATGGTTCAAACCTCTACTTCTGTTTCCAGTTCCAGAACTATGATTTGGTTCACAAGTTCAAACCATAAATTATAATTCTAGTTCTAAAACTAAAAACTATCCTGATTTAAACTCTCATACTAAACGCAACCTTAGCCGGTCCTGGTCTTTTTTTGTTGTTGTCGTTCATTGAGGCCTTCCCCGTTTCGTTGTTGTTGCCTTTTATTTTATTTTCTTTTCTTTTCTTATCGTACACTTACTCGATTGCTTTCCTCTCTGTTGTCGTTTTCGCCCATTTATTGCTGTTTCAATTTCTCGTCGTTTATTTTGTTCATAGTCGTTTTTCACTAGCTCATCCTTTTAATTTGTTGTCTCGTCGTTTCCCTCTAAATTGTGGTTCACACTGCTGTCTTTCCATTTCTCGACATTTTTAACGTCATAAATTGTGCTTTAGTTTTGACGTTTGCATATTTATTGTCTTTTGACGCATTGTTGCTCTTCCATTCTTCTAGGCCCTTTTCAGTTTCATGTCACTGACTCCTTTGTTGAGATGATGGTGCCCATTCTAACGTTTTTGTATCGTTCTACTATATTCTCGTTCCATTCTTGCTTACTGTCGTTTCACTTTGTTGTTGTTTCTTCGGGAGGGTCGTCCTTAGTTGTCGTTTGTCCTCTCTCTCCCTCCCGGAGTTATACGTTGTCGTCGATTTTACTCTATCTTATTGTCGTTTCTATTTCCTGTCGTTTTTCAGTTAGCTGTATCATTACTCTCATCTTTTTTTTTTTCATTTACTTGTCGTTTTATAATTTTACTGCAGTTTCTATGTTTGTCATATTCCAGTTTCCACTATGCTGATATAGTAAATGTGAGCACAACATTAAACTGTGAAGCAATTATTTAAACACTACAACAGCAAATATTGCGATGACGTAGTCAGTGAGTTAGGAAAACAAAGGAGAACTATGGTGTCCAAAAGTTTCAAGCCAAAAAATGAGAAACTCTCAACGCAAATTTGTCTTTCTAGCATCTCATTTTTTATCACTGTATAACAATAAAATTAATCCGATTATAGTCTCATTAGGATTTACCACCACCCTGGAACTTTCAGGGGCGAAGGTTTATAACAATGCTGTATTAAAAACAAATTGCACTTAGCAACAAAAACCAGACAATTTTATCGCATAAACTGACTCCAAGTTCACGTAACTCGATGTAGTGTGGGTAAACTTATCACCTATTTAGTTTTACATGTGACCAAAGAATGTGTTTGTCAAATATTTGAAGAATCTAGGATAGCAAAGGCAACAAAATTTGCTATCTTCTGCGCTTGTACTCTTTCCTCATCTCGGCCAAGTAGCTTTCCAAGTTGGGTTTTTCCCATAAACGTCTCTGAACAAGATCTTCTTTTGTTGATTCGTCTGGAAACAATAAAACAAAAAACTCTAAGAATATGGAGGATTTCTAGACCATAGTGACCATACCATTGCACAAGGAGGAGCATAAAAATTCCAGAAGTTGCAACTCACATTTTAAGAAATTCAGAGTCTAACCACTAAAGTTTTAACGTGGTGCCCAAAAGTACATGGTGAATGGTCAGCGAGGCAAATAACCATGAAGGAAAGAATTGTTATAGGTTCATTCCTTCAGGGTAGCAACATAAAACAAAATACTAAAGGTTCTCACTTTTGACGATGATAACTTATTTAGCATTCCAACCAAATTCAAGTTCTTCATGTGGTTTAAAACGAAATATAACAAGGTGAAATCTTTACTCACCAATATTTCTCCACGCTTCAGGGTACACTCTAAGGGCACTCTGTGTCAGGTAAGAAGCATCTTCCCACGAATATTGAGCCTTTTTCACTTTGTATCTCCAGAACCAGTGTGCACACCACAATAAAAGCTGGATGTACAAAGAAAAAAGAAAATTCAAGTCTTATGATGAAGGAAAAAGAAAATTCAAGTCTTATGATGAAGGTCCTAAAATCATCAAAGTCAGTCATTATGTAAGAGGCCAAAAAGATAACAGAAAAATAGGCACACATATAATTAATCCTAATTACAGCTTCAAGACTGTTTATAAAGTTGTAGAAGCTACTGAAACGACATTGAAAGGAAAGCCAACCTTGCCAATGGTGTAAGGTAGTAGTAAAAAGCGGACACCGAGAAGTTCCCAGAAGGAAGGCTTTTCAGCACCCTTTATGTCCAGTTCAAGTTCTTTACTCAGCTCTTCCTCCTTTTTCCTGCCATAAAAGAAATGGCACAATTGGTTTAAAAAGATCTGAAGCTACTGGTGAAGCATTTGAAAAGGCAGAAATAAAAGAGCATAGAAGAGTTTGAAAACACAGGACGTCTATATCATAAACTATCATCAACTTAAAAAATAATGACCATGCACTGTGGTTTCTGAGTAAAGAATAAGTCAAATTCATACTTGTCCATCTGCTTGTTACCCTTCTTTCTATTTGCAGTTCCTCCACTGCGCTCTAGTTCCAAAGCCCGAAGTCTATTTTTGTAAGCAGGTGTCTTCTTCACCATGGCTACAGCCTACAATGAAGAAGCATTATAAGTACCGCAAACAAGGAAACACAAGAATGTGTTATGCTTTTATGGGTCATAAAATGAATGATCTACATGAGGAAATTCGATCAAGCCCTCTGGAGAGTAAACTTGCCATGGCCTGCTGCCGAAACTAGCCATTAAGCAAGTATACTTTTTCCTTATAAGTTATACCACAAGTGTAAATACGAATAGGTCAATAAATATCAGCATAAATTGACAATATATTCGCATTTCATCTGTAACACGGTACCTGATTATACTTTGTCCACTGGTTGAGGTACTGAAATCCCGAGAGAACCAGAAGAAGGCCAATAAGGACAGCACGAGGATCCTGGAAGGTAGATACACAAACTGCTTTAGATACACATTAAATTATTAAACTGAAGCCGTATAATATCCTTAAATGAAAGTCGCCAACTGCAGATATTTTCTCACCGTCTTGTGACCATAGTATGCACGATAGTAACGAGCTGTGTTGTAAAACACCTACGAAGAGAAAAGGGAACAGCATTCTTTTTAGCAACTATCATTACTCAACTCTGGGAAGCTCAAAAAATCTGAAGCTTAAAAACGAGGTTATTTCCGCCAATCCATGTTGGAAAGTGGAAAAGAAAAAAGTTTTACAACTCACAAATGATAACTCTCTGATTCACAAAAATCTCTCAAAATCACAAATCAGGTAATGCAATACTAAATACACATATAATATATATATATATATATATATAACACACACACACACACACACACATATATATATATGTACACGAAAAGCAATTGGGAATAAGAAAAGAATCCCAGGATAAAATTTACAAATGAATTTTAATTATACCTCCTCCGGATGTTCAATTGCATAATCATACTCCTTTCTCGTGGTCTCGTCCTTCAAAATCTGCAATTTGGCAAATCAAATTTCCTTGTTCACCTAATAAAAACAAAGAAAAATTCGCAACAAAAGTTAACATCTTTTACTTTTGTGAGAAATTACCTCGTAAGCATTGGCAATTTTGACAAACAACTTTCTCGATTCCGGATCGGGGTTTTTATCCGGGTGACTTGATTCAAACACAACGAGTCAAAACAGCTAAACATTCTGAGAATGAATTACGATGGATATATGAACACAAAAACATAACAGAAAATCGAAGAACTCACTATTTTAACGAGAGCTTATAATAGGCTTTCTTGATTTCGGAAGCATTGGCATTCTGCGAAACCCTAGCAATGGAGGCAAGAGAATAGAGTAAATACGCGATACAGAGAGGGGTAATTTGGGAAGCAGAGAGAAAATGTGAGTTGCGAGGAGGTCAGCTGACCCTAGGAGATCGTAGCAATCATCTTCGTCGCAGTAGATGGCCGATGACGGAGAGATCAGGAGGCACAGAACGAGGGCTGATGCAGCCGCGAACCACCGAATCGCCGCCGGTGGCGCCATGGCCTTCTGCTTTGAAGCGGTCAGCTCGAGACAATAACCGAGCGAGCTTCCAAAACGAAATGGGTCCTTGGCTTTACGATTTACAAAACTCAATAGTCAACGGATCTATAGTCTCAGTCTCTGAGCATCACAACCGCCTGATTTGCATAACTATAGATTTGCATAATAATATCTTTTGAGAACATGTCCGATGCTTGTGAAATCACCTCCGATGCAACACACATACTATTTGCCATCAATCAAAATCAAAAGATAAGGGTTTGTTGTTTTGCATTTTTGAGTTAGGCGATAATTTTAAATTGACTTTGAATTATAATTTGAGTTGGAGATGTAATTTAAATTTGTGTTTAGGTGTGCATATTTGAGTTATGATTTAAATTGAGAATCTTTTTAAGTTTGTATTTAAGTGAATCAAAACTTAAATTTGTATTTAGATAATATTTTAATAAAAACTCAATGGTGATGAACAATTTTAATAGGGTATATGTGTAAGATTTTATTCGTCTTTTCGTTGTGAATGCATAGAAAAAAAATCATCTCAATCAGAATTAAAACGAAAAAGTTATGACATTTTTAAGAATAGAAAAAATATTGTTCATTAACTTGAGTTCGAGTTCATGAACTCGAGTTGAAGGGGAAACTTGAACTCTAGTTTAGCCCCAAACTCGAGTTCAAACTCAAATTTTATAAAAGAACATGAATTTAAATAAAGTTGTAACTTAAATTCAAACTTTTTCTGAGTTTTGTTACGAAAGAACAACCCCAAAGTGTGAACATGGCATAATTTGTTGTGGCCTTTTATGGCACAAACAGAAAAAATTAGACCTGGTAGCTCTCTATTTATCCGTTTAGAAACGGTCTGATTTTATGTATTATTTTAATATGACATGATTTTAATTAGTTTTTATAATAAAAAATTAATACTACTGATAAAGAGATGTATTGTAAAAAGTCTCAAATCTATTATGTTATTTTTTATATGTGTTTCGATGCATAATCTTATTGAAATGCTAATTTTATTCTTTGTCAAAAGTTTGAAAACTTGTAAAATAAATTTTCAATTGTAAAATAATTTGGATTAATCCCATAGATAGTTTTTGAGGTTTATTCTCAATTTCACTTTGGTTTTTCATTTCTAAAATGTCACACAGTTGATCTTTAAAAACTAAGATTTTAATCTATTTCAATTTTAGTCTTTTCATCAACCAAATGTTAAATATTTGACCAGATGTGTGTAAACTAGGGATTAAAATTTGAAATAATTAAAATTTAAGTACTTTTTTTGAAATTTAATTTTCATTTTTTATTATTTTAATCCTTAAACTTTAGATATTTTCAATTTTAATCTCTAATTTTCACATATTTTATCAAATATTTAACACGTAACTAATTGATTGGTCGAAACTGAAATAGAGTAAAACCTTAGACACGAACTGTGGGACGTTTTGAAAATCAATGAATAAAATGAGATTGGGGGTGAAACCTCGGATACTATTTATGAGATTAACCCAAATAATTTAAAAATACAAATGTTATAATGATTAGATAAAAAAATAAACGTAATAAACAATAGCAATTAAATGTCAAATTTATCTTATGTATAGTTTGTGGTAAATTTACCATTAAATGTAGCGTACGAAAACTTAACACAAAGAATAGTATTGTATTGAGTACTCATTTTCCTGCTCAAATGTTAAAATGTAACATTTATACATTAATTTAGTATGACATTAGAGATGCTTTAATTATAATTTTGGTATTTATTAGACTAACTACAATACAATACCGATGTCAATGATCTATTTAACATTAAATTGCACGAAAATAACATAATACTATGTTAAATAATTTTTCTACTTTCCTTCATAAGTATTTTTAAATAATTTTGAAAAGACAATAATGTGCATGTCCAAGATAAATGCCAATGTGAATGCTATATTTAAGACTAAAAAGTGTGAAAATGATTATTCTATTATGCGCTCCAATTTATAATATTATTTCAAATATGTTATATACTTTGTAATAGTTATTAAACTTTAGAACTTGTAAAATTAATTTTTTTTTAAAAAATTTGAAAATGACAATGTTGAATTGATTAAATAAAAAAGTCAATACATTAACCAATATCAATTAAATGTCAAATTTTGATATATGACATACTTTGGCCCTAAGTATAAAATTTACTAAATTTAGCATCAAATAGCATTTGCATTGAAGAGTAGTTTTTCTTATTCAAATGCTAAAATTTGACATCGACGTATTATTAATTTGGCATTGCAATCGGAGACGCTCTAATAACCAAATGAAAAAAAAATCAATATACCAACCAAAAATATCCAAATTGCCCAAATTTGACATTTGTTATTCTCAATACTAAATTTGGTACAAAGTAAAACATATTCTAAAGTTAGTACCAAAAATAGCATTTGCTTTTGAGAGAGATTTTTTTACTTGAATGCTAAAATTTGTCTTTGACACTAATTTAACACTGTATTAGATGTGCGCTTATACTTGGTGTTGAGTTTTCCACTAAATATAACATTTGCCAAGATTGCTATAATTGGTTAATCATTGATGTCTTAATTTTTAATTTGATATGAAAAATTGTTATTTACAAATTATTTAAAAATTAAAACTATAATTTTTAAAATGCTTAAAACTAAAAAATTTATAAAGAAAAATAAATATAGCATTTGAAATAACAATACTTAACAAAAAATAATCCATATAAAATATGTTATTTTTAAAATTTTTTCGTAACATAACATTCACATTTCCTCTTATTTTAAATTTGGTCTTGACTATTGCATACATTGAGTACATTATTTCTTTTCCTTTTTTAAGGTTAATTATTTGTTAAAGGATGGTTCTATTCACACACTTCTTTTTACTCTTCAAACCCCTTTGTTTTTTAAATTTTTTATGATAAAAATATCCTCACATACAATGACAAGAAAGGACAATTATGGCTTATTTTATTATGTAATTAAATTTCATTCAAAAAAGAAACTAATTATATAGTTTTTATCTCTTTCCACACACTCCGCATGTTACATCTTAAATTATAAAAATATTACTATTTTTGAATTTATAAAAAAAATCTATAATTTTCACCTTTTAATGACTATTCCAAAAAGTTGTATTGATATAATGTTAATTTTTCTTTAATATTGGTTGTATGATGATTTTTATTTTGTTTTTATTTTGTTTTTTTGCTTTTTTTTTCATTTCATGTTTATATTTTTAGTGATTTTTTTTTAAATACTATCATTTCATTTTTTTTTTATTTTTTTTTTATAAAGTTGCATTGATTTTTTTCCCGTTTCATCTTCCATTTGTGTTGTTTTGAAAAAAGGCTTCAGACCCAAAACTTAAAAAAAAAAAAATGAAGAGATAGAGAAATAATACTATTTTTATAAGAAAATAAAATAAAATGGTTAATCTCATAAATGGACCCTGAGGTTTAGCCTCAATTCCACTTTAATCTTTGACTTTTCAAACGTCACACAATTGGTTTCTGAGGTTTTATTTTGTTTTAGTTTTAATCATTCTACTAGTTTGGTGTCAAATATTTGATAGAATCTGTATAAATTATGGACTAAAATTGAAAACATATTAAGTTTAAAGATTAAAATAATACAAAAAACTAAAAGTTAATTTCCACAGATAAACTCAAAATTTAAATGTTTCTAATTTTGAACTCTAATTTACACGGATTCTATTCAATTTTAACGTCTAGTTGATTGAAGAACCAAAATTGAAACAAAATAAAACATCATGTACCGTTTGTGTGATGTTTGAAAAGTCAGGGATTAAAGTGGGATTGAGTGTAAATCTCGGGGACCATTTGTAGAATAAATCCAAAATAAAATGGTGGGTGTGAAAATAAAATTAAAGTGGACAAGAATTAATTATTTTATAAAAATAATTAAGGGTAATTTTGGAATGAAAGAGGTATGTAAAAAGTAAATTTAATTCTTTCAAAATTATGGGGAGTGTGTATTTAGAAGGAAGTGTGTAGAGTAAAAAATAGAGTGTTGAATAGAACCACCATTTGTTAAATGTAAGTTTTTACAATGTCAACCAATAACTAAAATTTGTCGATATTTTCGCATAAGATTTTTTCAACGATAGAAGATCGTAGTTTCATAAAAATTTATCATGAACAATGTAGCGTTGTAATTCAAGGGATGGTAAAGTGCTCCTTAACTTTTACTTCACAAATTCATTTCCTATTCCACTTCTCGTGCTCCCATTTCCAATTTCCAATTGCAAATTGACGAGAGCTCGTATAAAAAAAATAAAAATAAAAATAAAAAATAAAAAAAAAACCACCACTATAGCTTAGTTCGATTGTCCTTTTATTTTTTATTTTTTTGTTGGCTCAAAGCAAAAGGCCAAAAGTAGTATAGTAATCTGCTACATCTATTAATTCTTTAGTGTATCGCGTTGCATTGCTAGTAGGATCATATGTATAAGCGTAGTATCACCATTAGTTTTAATTATTAATCATGAATTTGCGCTTTACTCATCAATCATAGGAACTACAGATTATTATATGGCCCATGGTTTTACATGACAGTTTATGAATATCAATAAAATAAATTATCAGTACTAGTGGTGTTTAGAAATTTCCAATGTCAAGTCACTAATTATGTCGAGCCTGGTTGCTGTACAAACTTTCTCATTATTATCAGTGGCAATACTTTGTTCCATAATCCTAAATAGTAGCCAGCCAAATATATTGATAAGATGGGTAATTTTTGCACCAATTTCGAATGGTTAATGATAGTGCAATATATGAAAATAAACGGCAAGAAAACAAAAAGTAATCAAAAAAGAAAACCAAGACATGACAAGACAAAACAAAACTTCTATATATTTGCTGTAGTCAGCAAGAATAGATTGATTAAACCTTGCAACCAAACATGTTGATGAAGACTGCCATATCACCTACTCGTTAAGTAAACACCTAATAATTGAACTCAACCTTATTACATAATTCTATATTATATACTTTTTTCTTTTAAAGAAAATACCTTACCCCACATAGCCTAGACGTTGACAATATCTAACAAAATTCTTATATATATATATATATGTATGTATATATATGTATGTATATGTATATATGGCTCTGTGCGCCTTATACAAGAAATCTAGGAAGCCCTATTTTGAAACCCAACTTGGTAACATCCTCTTGGACCTGCTGTCTATACTCTCTAAAGCTGAATTTTTTGTAGACAGAAGGCTCACACCAACTCTCTATAACGGTATCGTATGATGGACATAGGAAATAAGCAGTAGAGAAGCGTTCCACTTGCTCATTTGTGACAACTCGGTGTTCAACACTCTTGTAAACATCGTTACTCCATGCCTGAATATTATTATTTACACAAGATCACACTAATTAATGATCACATTATGAGTTTTAGAAAAGCAAAATAATAGTTTGGTCACGTTAAATGATGGTTAGAGAAGTTATTAGTAGTACTGAACCTGAAATAAGTCTCCAATGTTAATAACTAGAGCCTCTGGATTAGGTTTAACTGCAATCCATTTGCCATCTTTCACTAATTGCAGCCCTCCAACTTGAAACTGAAGAAGTATGGTGAGGAAGTCACTGTCTGTGTGTGGCATCAGACCAAACACCTCCGATGGCACGGGACACGACGGATATCGGTTCATTCTAAGGTAACAAGTGCTTGGCAGACAATTTTTTTGGAAGAAAGTTGAGTCGTGACCCAATTTCTCTGCTAAAATTTCTGCTAGTTTCAGCGCCAAACTGGAAACTGTCGTAGCAAACTTTTCCATTGTTGAGCTGCAATCATAAGACAAGGGATTAAGATTAGCTGCCTACCAAGCGTATTGAGCACTCGATTACTAATACTATTGCATATCAAGAAAAATAGTTGTGGTCTAATAAATAGTACTTAAACAAACCTAAGGGGAAAAAAACAAAAAGGAATATGAAGGGCTTCTATTCATCTATGATAGTTGAGAGATTGGGAAAAAAAAAAAGAAAAAAGACCATTATAGGCTCTTTATTTTTTTTCCTTGCTTGTAGACCATTATAGGCATTTACAACGCCGTGCATGCAAATGGTGAAAAAAATAAAATAAAAATTGTTTGAGCCCGGGTTCGAACCGGGGACCTCTAGTGTGTGAGACTAGCGTGATAACCAACTACCCCACCCAGACGAGCCGAGCAAATTGATTTTAATTTTCTAATTTATAAAATTTAGTAGTCTATCTGATATTATGCAAGACTTTTGCGCCTATCAGAAAAGTATCTCGATGGAGGCTGGGTGAGTGTACATGTATATATGTGATTCCTTATTTTTCTTTTCGTGATACTATAAACACATATGTTTGATTCCTTTTATGCTAATGATTAGTACTGCCAACAATGTCTGATGCAGAGACTTCTAGCTATTGATCAGTTAAAAGCCAACGCTTTAATCTTTCCAATTAGCTCAACATTAGAAAATAGAAAAAGTTATATACCCCACCCCTTGACGATGACGTGCTCTCAATCACAATTCACAAGCAGTACTTATCATAAAAACTGAACCACTGAAAATATATGGTGCGGTGATTTATAACAGCAAGTAAAAAGAGTCCATTCTAGTTTCACAAAGATTCGTCCTTGCGGTGGGGATATCCACACGTTCAATCAGATATGCATTCATGACTTCATAGGGATGTGTAATGTTGGACAAATACTACATACGAAACTGGTCTAATACTTTTTAAAAATCTAACTTAATTTAAAAAATTAATTTATTAGGTCTCGTTTCATATATATATATAAATTATTTTATATCTTCGTTCACTTGGAATAGCGCACACATATATTTTTTTCCCAACATGAAATATATTTGAAAATCTAACTCTAACTATTCCCCCATTATTACATGTACACTCTTGGTCCGGTACGTAGGACCACTCTAATGATATAAACTTTGTTCTCTAACGTCTTTTCCAATGACATTGAAAGAAGTTAAATGGGACAGCTTTTTTTGATAGTATGTATACCAATCATCAAAGGAGAGCTTTTGTATGACTAATTTCTGTAGAGAGAAAATATATACATATATACAAACACACACACACACACACACACACATATATACTTATAATGAATCCTGATCAATTGTCCTGAATTTCTCGTTTCATTTTTATGTGTCATTGATTGTCTCCTGTTACTATTTTGTCACATTATATTAATTTAGAGGACGTTTAGTTTATGTATTCAGAATCATGATTCATAATCATTCTTATTTTATGTGTATTTTTTGTTAGAAAAAACACTGTAAAAAACCATGAATCATGATTTAGAATCAGGAACGAATATGAGAAATAAACGTCCCCTTAAAGTTTTGGCCAGATAATACCACCAGAGACTAGTCCAAATAGTTAAGTGTGTGCGCTGTCTAACAGAATTAAAATTCTGTTTGGTCTCATTTTTATAGACTTCACAATGTATCAGAAAACAAGAATTTGGCCTCATAATAAATGCTAAATATTAAAAAGACTCGAGCAATTCAATAACTAATTATGAAAATAATATTGAAGAATCATCGAGTAACAAGAAAATCAGAAAATAGATCTGGACTCATTTATAATTTAAAACAACAGATTTGGACTCATTTATAATATTTAAATTTGTACCTGAGAGTATTGAGACCATTATCGTTACCCGCGCCGGAATTAATAATATTGTTGAGGGGAACGTGAAAAGCTTCGGACCACGACAACTGCTTTAGGCAAGTGGCGGTTGGTGTCCCCCAACGGTAACTGCCAGCTGAGAATTTCAGGTACTTGTTCTCCAACGGTTGCTTAAAGGCCTTCTCTTGTTCCAACCTCATCTTCTCCGACAGCTCGCGCGATATCCCGTGGTTCACCACCTGAAAGAAGCCCCACTCTTGTGAAGCCCTAGCTATCTGCGACTTGCACTCCTCTCTCTCCACTTCGCCGAGCTCCAGAAGGGTCAGGTCGATCAACGGAAGATCACATTCGTCGACATCGGCAACATGTTCGTAATTTGCACTTCCGCTGTGGACGGAGAACTTTCCGTCGACTGTTTTGCCGGAGAGGGTTTTGTAAGCCTTGTGCAATGGTGGGTCTGAATCCATATTATTCTGGTTATTAGCGGCTGATGATCAGGACATGGAATTATTATTGTTAGAACCGATCCAGGAGGTCTAGAAAGATATCGCTACTCAACAACAAAGAAAGTTGGTAAATGGGAGATAGGGACAAGGAGAAAGAGATTGAGACAACCCGTTTTCTTCTGTTTTCTTGTTTTGATTTCCCTTCGTCGTCGATGAAAACGTTATGACGTTTACGTTTTCCGCATTTCATTGGTCTTTGGGGACAAAGTTGATTCTATGTCTTATTGTAATTAGACTTGAAGATATCATCTATTTGACTATTTCGTCCCTTTCTCTCTCTTTTTTTTTTTGTTTTTTTTTGTTTTTTTTTTGTTTCTAGAATGAATTTATTTATTTTCTTTCTAGAGCTAGCTAGAGCTACTTGGCAGTTTCCATTATGTCAGCAGCTGGAGGATGAAATATACAAAGCCGGTATGAAAATTACTACTGTTATAGGACAATTATAGGGGTTAAAATAGGAAAAGAGAAAAACTCAAAAAACTTCATGACATTGTTTTACACTTCATGACACCGCGCGTGTATATTGTAAAACTTATTTATCTATATATACCTGGGTCAAAAAGAGACTCCAATATGACTTTCTGGCTTCACTTCTACTTATTTACTACGATCCATCTTTATCTTCAATGCACCAATAGCAGCCAATTACCTTCAGTGCTCCGTATCAGTTTCTGCAAAGAAAGCAAGAAAAAGATATCAAACCTTTCAGCTATCTTATATACAAATTTGGTCAGGATAAAGATAAGTTACAATCTCTACTTTTTGACAAGTCCTAAACAAAAAAGTTAAATGATAATAAAGTGGTTGCAAGAAAAAGAAAAGGATTTACTTGCATGGCAATTCAATGAGATGTTGACGTGCATTCAGAAAAATATATTAAAATGGTATCGCTTTCTTTTGAATATAGATAGATATAGGGGAAAGAAAAGTATGCGTCAAAAGCATAATTTACAACACGAGAACCATGAAAGGCTAGTATGAAAATGAAAGATATTAATGGGTTAATTAGACAACGTTAAAGAAGCAATAACTTACAAGTAAAAATGAAACTTCGAGAGTAGTAGAAAGCTATTAGAACACATCATGTATATATATTTGTATGTATATATATATATATATACACCACTTTGAATTGCTTTGTAAAATATATAACCAACGCATGTATATATATAGCTGCTTAAAACACTGTAGAGGCATATTACCTATACGGGGTATGTGATCAATAGCATGGACGAGGGAGGGAAGGAGGGAGGGAGGGAGAGAGAGAGAGAGAGAGAGAGAGAGAGGGAGAGAGAGAGAGAGATCTACTGGTCCCTATAAGATTGGAGGCAGATTTTTTTAGTACGAAAAAAGGAAATCACATCAAGAATCAGAGAACAGTTGATGAAGCCAATTATTAAAAGGACGGTAAGAGGATTGGGCGCTTATGATTAAGAGTAGAACACGCGTTCCATCGTGAAATGAGAAGGAGAGAGAGAGAGAGAGAGAGAGAGAGAGAGAATGTGACAGTAAGCAGGTCGGGTCCTCTTTTTGGACAAGAAAATATTGCTAATCAAAAGCATAGCACCGGAGATATTTCTCCTTTTCGTTTATGTGGTGTGTTATACAGAAGCGTGAAAAAGACCAAGCAATGGAGTAGTAAAGAGATAAGGAGAAAGCAAAGACTTGGAACCCTTTAATGGTGCAAATTGAAAGTTGTAGACTTGGTTCAATTTGCACCAATTGAAAGTTTCATTTTGATATATAAGTCGATAGTCATCATCTCTCTTTCAAATATGAAATCTGAGAAACAGGAGACATGATTGGTGCTGGTCCCAACCGTATAATTGTAACCTCTGAGTCCATGTCGGCACATACGTGGCAGAACCGAGAATCACATGCTTGTTTTAGCATTTTTGCGTCGACCATTTGTAACTCTATTGGTCTAGCGCCTAGCTAAGGATATATGAAAAAAAGGAAGCAAAATAATAATAATATTAATAATATTAATAATAATAATAATATTAATAATATTAATATTAATAATAATAATTAGGGATAATAATAACTGCATATCTGCATGTGCATTGCTTACACCAAAAAGGACAACAGTATCGCCGTTGTAGGATTCATGGCCTCACGTCTTTCGAACACAAGTGTAAGCAAAATATCATACTCTCACTGTATTATATATAAAACTTTACGGTGTATATATATTTTTATCACGTATGTATATACTATATATATAGCATCGGTTTCTTGCATTTTTCTCGACAGTACTACTTCTACTGTTCCTGGTTATCTAACCAAAAACCAAAAGTTTCAGTCAGGCCGCAACGTGGCCTGCCGCTGCCACTAGCTATAAATATTATATCGCACACATACATATACATATACATATACATATATATATGAATGCACGCACATATTATATATATACGAGATATATTTTCACAAGACGTGACACAATACGCACATATATATGTGTGTGGCACTGTACTATTCATCAAATATGTATTATGTGGCATTCTTCCTCAAACTTTGAACACAAGCGTGGCTTAATTAGTTTTTATATTCCTCGGCCGTGGAATTTTATTTGTGATAATTCGCATAATGCTCATTCGTGGTTCAGAATTAGTGTTAAGACTAAAAACCGCGCGCCGACCCTTTAATTTCGTATTAGTAACCAATATTTACTTGAAATGATTGATGAAATTAAAGAGACGTTTTTCTGGTAACAAAAATTAAAGGTACGTTATGAATTATTAATTGGAGTTATATATATAATATATGTCAGGCGAAAATCAGATATATATGGTGCAACACAGGTATATATGGAGCCTTGATCTTCTCCTAAAAAATGAGATCGAATCAGCTTTCTTTGTTGGGAGACTGGCCGGGTGAAAAAAAAAATGTATCTTTTCATAATGTTAGGTAAGTGACTCAAATTGGTTCTGAGTAAGTTATTGTTTTTAGTTTTTGGGTAAGGGTTATTTTGTGATTTATTAAGAGTCTATAAATAAGTATTTTGTGTAAGACTTTATGTGTGCTACAACAAAAAAAGTGCTTCCTTTTGAGGAAAACAGAGAAAAGTGAGGAGAGAGATATGCAAATAGTGTAAGGGGTGTTGGGTAGATAGAGAAAGTGAGAAAACTTGTTGAGTGTGTAATTTTGAATCATGGACGTAGAAAATTTTTTCGAACCACCTAAATTTTTGTCTTCTTTATTTTTCTATTATTTTTGTTTCAGTTTATTTTTCTGCTACGTGGGTGTAGTGGTGTGTTTTTTCCTAATAACTGGTATCAGAGGTGTGGTAAAGATTTAAAAAAAAAAGGTCAAGATGATGTCCGAGATAAAGTTTGAGCAGATTAAACGGTTTGACAGAAAAAGTAATTTCAGCATCTAACATTGTACAATGAAAGATGTTTTGATTCAACAAGGACTACTGAAATCGCTGCAAGAAAAGAATCCAGAAAATATGAAAGATGAAGATTAGGAAGAATTAGAAATGAGAGCGGTAAGCACTATTTGTTTACGTTTGGCTCATGAACTGAAATATAGTGTTATGAATAAAACGTCTCCCTCTAAGTCATGGAAAAAAATAGAAAAAGCTTATACGTCGAAATCTCTAAAAAATAGACTATATTTGAAGAAGCAATTGTATGAGTTGAAGATGGATGAGGAAACTGATGTTAGGAATTATATAAATAATTTTAATAAGTGCATAACTCAGTTATTAAGTGTAGAGGTCAAAAGTGATGAGGAAGATGAAGCGGTAATTTTGTTAGCCTCCCTACCCAAATCATATGAGACTTTGGTGACCACACCGTTAGTTGGAAAGATGACATTGACTATGGATGAAGTGTTAACGGCTCTATTAGAGACTGCATATATGAAGAAGTCTAGTGTTACGCCTCATACTAAACAAGTTTTAGTGGCACAATCAGATTCGAATAAGAGTAGGAGCAAGTCACAAGGGAGATATTATGATAAGAGAGATGATCATTCCTAATTTCATCCAAGGAAGGATATTGAGTGCTAATACCGTCATAAGAAGGGGCATATTAGGAGAAACTATGAAGAACTGACAAAGCACCTTAAAGAAAAGAGAAAGAAAGAAACCCAAGAGGCTTCAGATTCTGGAAACATTATTGATGATAGGTATGACAGTGAAGATGACTTTTATTCTGTTATTGCCGATGAAAATATTTTTGACTCTTGGATCTTAGATTCTAGATGCTCGTTTCATATGTGTTCACATAAGGAATGGTTTGATTTTTATAAGCCCTGTAATGCTGGTACTTTGTTGATGGCTAATGATTTTAGTGTTAAAGCTGTTGGAATAGGTACTGTGAAGGTGAAGATGTTCGATGGAGTTGTAAGGAAATTGACAAATGTTAGGCATGTCCCTCAACTAAGGAGAAGTTTGATTTCTTTGGGGGCTTTGGACACTTTGGGTTGTGAGTACAATGTGAAGGGTGGTTTTATGCACGTCAAGAGAGGCGATTTGATAGCCATGAAGGGTCAAAAAGTGAAAAACTTGTATAAACTGAATGAGATTACATTTATAGGTGGAGCTATGGAGGTGGAGCCAAATCACGAAGAGTCTTCTTTTATTGTTAAAGAAGTTACAAGAGTAAAATAGGGCAACAAGTTAATAACAGTTGAAGATACTAAAGGCAAGATGTTAAAGGCTTATAGCAATAAAGATGCTTTGAAGAAGAAGAAGTCAGTTCCTCGTGCAAATTTGATGAGAGTTTAAACTTAACGCATGTTTATTCTTGTTGAAGTTTGCACTATTATCACCCTATCCATGAGGGATGCGACGACGAGTGTCAAGATTGGACACCCATATGTTTGAGTTGAGAGAATTTGAGTCAAGATGGAGATTGTTAGGTAAGTGACTCAAATTGATTTTGAGAAAGTTACTATTTTATATTTTTTGGTAAGTTATTGTTTTCAGTTTTTGGGCAAGGGTTATTTTATGGTTTATTATGAGTCTATAAATAAGTGTTTTATGTAAGACTTTATGTGTGCTCAAAGAAAAAATGCCTCCTTTTGAGAGAAACAGAGAAAAGTGAGGAGATAGATAGGCAAAGGGTGTAAGGAGTTTTGGGTAGAGAGAGAAAGTGAGAGTTTATTGAGTGTGTAATTCTGAAACTGTTAGTGAAGTTTTTTTCTCTCTTCCATAGACATAAGAAATTTTTCTGAACTACATAAATCTTTTTCTTCTCTATTTTTTTATTATTTTTGTTTCAGTTTATTTTATTTTATTTTATTTTATTTTTTTGCTATGTAAGTGTAGTGGTGTGTTTTTCCCTAACACATAAATAATACATGACATGCCTTCAAGAATTAACTTCAGCATGTGACCAACTTCTATGAAGCATTTGTTATAGTTGTAAATGGGCCAAATATAAGATTAAAGATAAAGTTGTCTAAGTACCTAGTACCTTCTCGCATCTGATCAGAGATCTCCGTCTACAGATATCTTTTACCCAATACCCACCACGCTGGCTAACATGTCATGCCTTATCTTTCACGGACCAACTCCAACATGTTATTATCCTCCTAAAAGGGGAAATAAAAAAATAAAGAACAGTACAGAATCTAGCAGATTAATTATGCGTTGTTGAATTCCCTTACTCATTTTCGCCTTTTTACACTAATGAGATTTTTACAGGAGGGCATAGAAATAAAACTATTTTAAGTACTTTCTTTTAACAAATTTTACTCCTCGAGTAAGGTATACACCATACACCTAATTTGAATCGTAGTGCTTATTTGTTTCATTGATCCGAATCCCTTTTTCAATTTAAACGCAACTCATTATTCAAATTCTTGTTTGGTAACGCATGTATTAGGGGAGCAATGCATTCATATGGGAAGAGCAATTTATGAAATCAGGTTTTTTTTAGCCCCGGCCGACTCAGGATCCCACTTCCCCTCAATATCACATTTTAGACCTACTTTCTTAGTGTTTAATTCAGTTTTGTGGCCTTTATTTTTTTCTCACTCTACCACCTTCATAAAAATCAAAGTGCGCTTTTAAACTATCATAACTTACTCATTTTAACTCTAATTAAGATGATTTTACTTTTATGTGTTTGAGCAAAGAGACGAATAATCACCATCTATATATAGCCCATAAAAAAAATGTGCCATGGACATTGAGATTTTGCAAAATTTGTTAAAAATACGAAAGTTTTTAAATGACTTTTTTCAATACTCTATCCATCTAATTTGAATTATTGTTAATCTGTGTATCTGAATATCATCTCAGATTATAAATCAAGTAAACTCAAATTCAAAATTTTCAGTTCAAATCAAATGTATGTATATTGTAAGAATTTGGATATGCGAGTCAAAGGGAACTGTAGTATATAGTCTAACAGTAGAAGCATGCATAGGCTTCTCTTCTCTAGAGATTTCTTTTTTTACAAAAATAAAGAGGTGGTAGTTGTGCAATGTGCATGACTTCGCACTTACTGGTCAAAGTTAAAGTGAGTGGTGGGAATGGTTTCTCAGGTCATGTCGTTGGACTTGGAGACTATTTATTTGTATTTGTATTTTTTTTTTTTTTTTTTTGGCTAAAAAAGTTACTTGCTCAAATTAATCATTGATGGGTCCAAAATCCTACGTAAATTAATCAAGCAGAACAAGACAAGTGGATCGTGGGATAATGTCGAGGCATGATCGATTGATGGTT